AACTTTTATAAATGTATTGTATAGTATGTGAATTCGAAATAAAATGTTAAAAATTCAACTTAAAAATTATATATATTGCTTGAACATAAAAAGTATTCGTGAAATATTATAATATTTAATTATTATTGAATACGTAAGAGGTGTATTTGATACATATCCTTGAATATCATATTTAATAATATATCCGATACGAATACGCCGATCTTAACAAAACAACTGTTTTTCATATAGCTGAGGAGTGAGGATCGAGTAGACCGTGACTTTTCCACTACATGTGTAAATAATGCATAGAGGGTGAGGTAGGTTGAGGTGCCTTTGGTATTTATTTCACATTTAATCCTAGGACTTGATTATGGTACTAAAAAAAATTTCTTTATTATACATTCAAATTTTATTATTTTAATGTATATTTTTATAATTTTTTAGGTCATTTTATAATAAAAAATTTATTATTTTTATGAATAATTTATTATGTTGGTTAGTGTTTTTATCAATATTGTCGTATTTTACTTTTTTTGTAAACAAATTTTTTTATCACTTTTGTAGTTAGTTTATCATTTTTGTGAATATTTTTATTATTTTGTGAGTGTTTTTATCGTTATTGTGATATTATTTTTATCATTTTTTTCGGTATCGTAATAGTGATAAAACATTAACAACAATAATAAAACTTACCACAAATATAATAATGTAGTATGCTATCAAAATTATATTTTTTAGTACTGTAGACAACTCCGTAGCAGAAGAATTGAGAATAAAAGAGATACTCTTTTAATTATATTGAATAATCTAAAACTCCTTAATCCTAAGACTTACAAGAGTATAAATAGTACTTAAATTCTAAAACTAATTAAAAAATAACAAAACGTGAGGTAATTAGAACCTGTATGTCACACACACGTGTTTTGTCAACTAAATGATAATTTTGGCGTTATTGACTAAATGGGATTCATTACTTTTTTTCAAAACATTCTGAATGCATGACTTTTCATTATTGAAATTTTTTTTTAAAGATACAGAGCATCATTCGCCCAAAAGGTTTATTCATCATATTAAACCATACACCCTTAGTATTTTTTTTGACGAAATACATGTTGACGAATACATGTTGTTAAATATATAAAAATTTTGAATTAATTTCATGCGTCTAAGAATTATAAAATAAATAAAAGTCCAATTAAAACTATCGGATCAAAATGATATAAATCGCAAAAAATTCAAAACAAATAATCAAATTACTTTATTTTAGATTAATAGTAAATTGTGCAGTGGGTCCTATTTGACAGAGATATTAAATTTGTAGCGGAAAATGACTTTCATTTTGAACCACACATATAAGAAGATATCATGTACGTAGCAGGAGTAAATATTGAATGCAAAACTGATACCCTAACTCACGTTTTTATTGAGTTACCAACAAAAGGACTGAGCACTGAGTAGTTATCAACGCATTAATACAATCTCATCGATTCACACCCACCTCTCTCTTTTTTTTAATTTTAAATTAGTTAATTAAAAAAACTAAATTAATATTTAAAATATACTGATTGTAAGATTAATATTCAATTTTTGATATTATATACTATTTTTAGGCATGTAATTATTGGTATACACAAATAAAGCTGTTAAATTTTTTATATAGACTTAAAAACGTAACGTCACCCCAAATTATAATAGACTTCCTAAAAGAGTGGTTGAAAATTATCTCTCTATCTGAACCACTCATATGAAGTTATTATCTTGGGCAAATTATATTTTAGCTTTCTGTGGTTAGAACTATTAGCACATCACTCTCCTCATATTCAAATATAGTCGGGTAAATTATAATTATACCCCCTAAACTATCATTTTTTATATTTTTTTCTATTAATTATTAAATTTTTTACATTGTATTATCAACTAACACTTTTATTTCACAAATATTGGTGATCTTTTTAGGTATGGATTTTAATTGGGGTGCATTAAAATTCATGATGTTTTAGTGATTGAATGGAAAAACAATAGGTTTAAAAATGTATTCCAAAGTATGAAAGGTTTATAGGATATTGCATAAATGTGAGGCTGCTCCTTTCTCAGCTCTTTAAAAGCATATGGAAAATAAAAAACAAAAAATAAAAAGACCACATCTCTAAATAGTGTGAGATCTCATTTTTGTCATGATATACTACTAGACAAAAGTCGATGATTAAAGCAGTGTGAAACTCCAACTAATAGTTTAAGGTTCATTGGGCAAAAATAGATGGTTAAAAGGGGCCAATATGAAATGAAAATCATAATTTGACCGATTCAAGTGTAATTTGCTCTTTGTAATTTTGTCGTAACTAAAGTCTTGATTATTGGCGAGGATGCCTTTCACACGTTTTTATTGAGTTACGAAGAAGGGGATTGAGGATTGAGTAGACATTGACTTTTCCATAAGAAATGAATCTTTCCGATTATAAATTAATGGCCCCTCTTTACTTGTTTTGCCATCAACATAACAGTTTTTCATTCCCATTGAATTAATCAGGTCCGAAGACGAAGCGGGGGAAACAAAAAGACCAATTTGCAAATCATCAGTAATTAAGTCGTAGAAGAATTAATCTTATATTTTAATATAAATTTCATGCTTACTAGCCCGCCTAACATAGAATCTATGATCCGTTATTAACTAAAATATCAATCTAGAACGAAATTAATAGGTATGAATTATCAATGGGTTCGGGACATAATTAAGTTGATTTGTTTAATCAATAATCCCAATTAGATACATGATTAGAAGTAAGGCAGATATAACTTGCACAAACCTTGATATTTTTACCAAACCTGTGCACCAAGTATTGTCAGCCGTTGGATTAGTGGGACTCACTATCATCCAATGTTTGACAATAATTTGGTGCACAAATTTGATGAAAAATAAAGTTTATCTATATAAAAAGGCAGAGGAGACATTTACTGGGACGCGCTTCAATGGCAGTACGAGTAATAGGGAAAAATACATTTTAACCCTCTGAACTATGTCTTATGTCTTACATTACCCCCTAAATTATCATGTTTTTAATCTATCAACTTGAAGTATTGTCCCAATAATTAATGCCGGTTGAAAATTTGGGGGAAAGACATCTCATTTTGCCCTCCCTTCCAAATTAAATGATTTTGTTTCAACTTGCCCTGATACGTGAATGTAATCCATCTAAAAGATAAAGAACTTTTGCTTTTTAGGTAATCTAAAACCAAGTCAACTAATAGAAGAGATTGCGAAAAAAAAATTAATTGTTCAAAAGTAAAGTGAGATTAATAATATAGTAGAGGGGATCAAATTGTAATATAGCCCGAATAATACAAAGAAAATGATAGAGAATTCCTTCACCAGAATGCTACTCCGCTGCAGTGTGAAACCATGTAATTATGATATCTCGTGTCTAGGATATAATAACTTGGCATTTCTTTTGTTTTTTATTATTTTGTGTTTTTTGGATTCCAATTTGTTTTTCCATTCAAGAATTTCCTATTATTAATTAAATGTAAAAGATTATTATTTCGGGTAAAAAACAAAAAATCTCTCATAACTAATCATCGGTCTCACTTTACCCATTGTACTTTTACATGTTGCATTTAACTCCCTCCAACTTGTGAACAAACTATAAATATTAATAGAGATTTGTTTTTAAGAGATAACAATTTATACAAAAAGACTAAACTATCCGCTGATGGTAATCCAATTTTCTTTGTGATGCCATTATTGTAGAGCCCTTATATTTAAAAATAAAACCTGCAACTAGCACACTTCTACCATTATAGTCGCACTCCATCACTACAACCCAATCCAACTCCAACTCCGTTACCACTACACCCCACAAATTCCTCTGCAAGTTGTGAAGAAGGCCAAAACGAAGGGGAGAGAGAGAGAGAATTTTAGGTTTTGATTTAGAGACTTATAATACATAAACTCAACTTGATCAGGCTTATTTTTTCATGAGAATTTCATTGGGGTGATTAGATTTAAGCTTCCATATAGAGTGTGTGCTCGAATTTGTGTTTGAAGCTTAAAGTGGTTATGGATTTTCAAATGGTTTTCATAGCAAACGACCATTTCCTTAATTAAGGCTTTGGTTGTGTTATGGGGTTGTAGTACAGTTTATTGGAGGGCTTGAAAGTCATGGCCGCTGTGTGTGGTGAAGAAACCCACTAGGGTTTGAAAACTTGAAAATCAAAAATTTGAAGTTAAAACTTCAAAAGTGGGGTTGGGTCTAGCTAATTTGGGGTCAATGAGTTAAAAAATGACCTTAATTTTAAAAAAGCAAGTAGTTTGATGGGTTAAAAATGAATTTGCAGGTCTGGAGAGAAAGAAAAAAAGAGTTGAGAGAGAGGAAGATGAAGGGTAAAATTGGTAATTTAGTTTTTTAATTTAAGAAAAAATTTATTTATTATAACACGCGTTGCAGTTACTGCGTCATTATAATAAAAAGAGTCTGTTAAATTTGTAATTTCTTCACAAGTTGAAGGAAGTTATGTGCAACTCGTAAAAATATAGGGGGTCAAATAAGACTGAGACTTAGTTATGAGATTTTTTATTTTTTACCCTTCTATTTCTTTCTCTATTTGCATGTGGATATCACTTATGCTAAACCTGCCATTAGTGATATAAAGCTATGCAGATCACTTTAGTGCAATATTTGTTGTGTTTGCTCAAGAAGTTTGTAGTTTTGTATATTTCTCGACTAAAAAAAAATTAATTTTACGAGATCTTCTTTGTGGAAATACTAAAAATTGCAAAAAATAAAAATAAAAAATTGCCTTCTGGTAATTAGAAGTCCATTTTATGCCTTCGATGAAAGCAGCTTTGATTAGTTTTCACAAACCTACACTTAGCTAGGCATATACATGATAAATTACCACCATTGGCTTCCTCACATTTGATCTTAGGTATGGATCTTAGGTATGGCCATTCAACTTAGCATTTAGCATATTCTTTGGTATGTAGGCCACACAGAGACGGATTTTACTTCTGCAGGCCAAAGATGTCTCAAACAATTGATCACATCGCCTTAAGTATAGACCAAGAGCTTGCTTGCTTAACTCGTACACCATTGAATCCTTGCATTTTCAAAGTGTACCGTGAACTGTGCATTGAAAATGAGAAAGCCTATGAACCAAAAATAATTACGATTGGTCTTTTTCACCACGGTAAAGACAACTTACAAGAGATGGAAGAGCACAAAATACGGTACCTGCAACTATTGCTTCACCGGAGAAATGAGAAGAGTGTGAATAAATACGTTATGGCCCTAAGTGACATGGAAGAGAGGACGAGAAATTGTTATGCAGAATCTAGTGGCCTCAACAAAGCTGAGTTTGTGAAAATGGTGCTTCTTGAGGGGATATTTGTCATTGAATTATTTCGCAAGTGGAATGCTCGATCGAGTTATACAAATGACCCTGTTGTTCAATCTTTTAGAATGCTACGTGTCATATGTCGTGATTTATTACTATTGGAAAATCAACTTCCATTTTTTATCCTTGTCCACTTGTTCAACATGACGAGAGATTTAGACACACAAGAAGACATTAGTTATCTGGCATTGTCTTTGCTAGACAATATATTGCCAGGGCCAGCAGTTTCACACGTTTCGAATATACCAGAGGACGAAGTCAAGCATCTACTTCACCTAATACATGGTAGTATGTGCTCTTCATTTGCTAAAAAAGTCGAGTCCTGTGGTGAGGTTTCCAGATTCGAGGTCGACAAATTCGAGTTAATGAATACTATCACAGATCTCCAAGAGGCTGGAATTGCTTTCAAGGTGGATGAGGGAAGTAACAATTTGTTTGATATTAAGTTCAATAATGGGTTGATGGAAATTCCCTGATTGCTTATTGGTGATGACACTGAATCCATCTTACGAAACTTAATTGCATATGAACAGTTTCTTCCTGATAAGACTCATCGAAGATATGTCAGCGATTATGCCCTACTTATGGATTGCCTTGTCAACTCTCCAAAGGATGCCTCATTTCTTCACTGCTGTAGAATTATCACCAATGCTTTAGGTGATGACATTGTGGTTTGCAACACGTTAAACAAGCTTGTCAACGGTGTCACGCTCTCGACAAACTTTAGTTACTTTCAAGTTTTCAACAACTTGAATAAGCATTGCAAGTCACCTTACAACAAATGGATGGCAAACTTAAGACACAATTATTTCAACAGCCCATGGGCACTCATTTCATTTCTGGCTGCTGTTGTGCTCCTCCTGCTCACTGTGGCACAAACTATATTTTCTGCTCTTTCCTATTTCTAAACGGATCCCACTTGTTCCCTCCCCACCCCCTGGGGGGAGAAATCATGTGTGCAGTTCTTATGTCAAATGATTTTGTTGTATCAAATAATCAGTGAAATAATTAGTGAAACAGATCTTAAGCCACAATTTGAAGCTGACTACCAGTTCAATACTTGTGAAAGTAGTAAATAGTTGCTTTTAGAATTATTATTTTTACTATATTTCCTTTCATCNATAAGTAGTAAATAGTTGCTTTTATAATTATTATTTTTACTATACTTCCTTTCATCTCTTCTTTTTTGTGACATTCATGTCTGGACATCTTAAAGCATCATAATACACAACCAATGCCCCAATAATTTAAATTTGTGTGAACGGCCCCAACGAGGAGACTCAATTTTAAGAACTCTAGCTTTTCGAANTGTCTGGACATCTTAAAGCATCATAATACACAACCAATGCCCCAATAATTTAAATTTGTGTGAACGGCCCCAACGAGGAGACTCAATGTTAAGAACTCTAGCTTTTCGAACTGGGTTCCAAACCTTTTTTTTTGTACTTTGACACACGTTCAAGTTAACAAGCATGTGTGGAACCAATGCTGCACTATAGTGTACCACCAGAAAAAAATATATATATGAGATGACACGATCTAAATTTAAAAGTATAAAATGAAATAAAGCATAACTATTGAGCTGAATTTCTTTTTTTCTTTTGGGTAAGTACACTTNAGATGACACGATCTAAATTTAAAAGTATAAAATGAAATAAAGCATAACTATTGAGCTGAATTTCCTTTTTTCTTTTGGGTAAGTACACTTGTATTGTACCAAGATGAATTTGGGTTTACCATGAAAGCATAAAAGAAACTGAAGAGTATTCAAGAATTTCATGTATAGTGGATAAAGATATGAAAAATGCTATCTGAACATAATTTGGAGACTTGAGATTAAAAATGGGTTTTATCTACAATTGAAACTTACTACTAATCTAATAACAGTATTAAATTACGTCCCAAAAAATAAGTTCATGCAGCATTGCTCTAAAAATATTGAGGTAAACACCAACATTAAATAATGCAACCAATTCCATGTACTATGCACTTTGCAGCTTTATTCAGCTTCGCAATGAAAAACATAAAAGGGAGTTGACGGATATTTTTGTTTTTAAAGGATTATGTGGCTAGTGTGATTTGACCCCAAATCTTGTTTGGGAATGAACAACTCTTGAACTCTGAGGCCTTTTGCTCCGGGTGATGGCGGAGATCATCTTGGAGCAGACTTCCCGAGAGTTCTTGGGAACGTACCATGCGGGTGTCCCCAGCTGGTCACCCCCTTTCTAAGGTGGCTACCACCTTGCGAGGTCCTAGTCCAGAGTTCATAATCCTTGAGCAGCTTAATAACCTTGACATTGTCTTTCTCGATCTTCAGGAGCCGATCACCCAGCCTTTTTTCTATCAAGTCCACCAGCCCGCGGGCAAGGACTCGATTGGATGGCATAACAGATTCCATCTGATTGATCCAAAGACCTGGATATGACCAGGGTGACGAGCAGGTTGCTGGTATTCCTAACACGAAGGTTATCTCCACATTGCCTTGAGACCGTGTTTGGACCATAGTGACAACTACAGGGAAAGGCTTGGTTTAAATACTTGCCAAAGATGGAGCCCAATTGCATGGGTGAATTCGTGCAATGGTTTGAGATAGTGGCACCAAGGCGAAGATTGTATGGATGTCCTGAAACAAAGAACAGAGTCAGCAGGGGCAGAGGCTTGTCCAACTTATCTCCTCTAATGCCTAAGTTAGTAGGTGCTAAAAGGGTGGATAATGTTTTTTTTACAGTGTTGGATTGGTTGTGAATGTGTACCTGAAATCTAATTCATTGAACTATTTATACCTTCAAAGATGATGACATGACATTTTAAGGGTCCCATCAAGCCGGTTGGAGAGCCCTCATAAGGGGTAATCATTCGTGAGCTACCCTTCCCTCGAGCCGCATAATTACTAGGCTTGGGAAAAGTCGACGGCTCCTCGGGACCTTGTTATGCAATAATTACTCCCCTTAGGGCACCGAACACCTACTACAGGTCCCCTCAACATTTGATGATTGTTGCCAAATATTTTTTGAGTTGTGCCGAACACTCATTGCATTGACACTGAACGTTAAATATGGCACCCCTGAGAAGTCCACATTAATAAGAGTCATGTTTTTATCCAGATTTTTCGATATTCAACATAAGAAATGACATGATGTGTCTACGAAAATAATATTTCTCTTTAACTCATTGCATCACCGAGGGCCCACACTCGTGCATAGCATTGATTGATCAGGCCCGAGAAGAATCTTTCCCTCAAGTCTGCTAGGGCATATCTCGTATCAAAATCCCTTTTAGGGATCATGGTCTGATACAACAATCGTTTAGTGTTCCGTCATGACCCATTCTAAATTTCATGTGATAGGAGTTCTTGAATGATTGGGAAGAACTTGAACATGACACTTTTTTCTAGGTTTTTAGTTTGTATATTGACCTAAATATGATATATTTATTAAAATTATTGGGTTAATATAAGGTCATTTGAAAGTGACAATTGGGGTGAATTTTTTTTTAGGAAATTTATAATGACTTAAAGGTTTTTTGCATTTTGAATCTTGAAAGATTTAAAATTTTTCACTTTACACCCTCAAAGAATAATTTTTTTTTATATTGTATCCTCAATGTATCAAAAATGTTGTGATGTGACCCTTTTGTTAGCTTCCGTTATTTTTTCTATTAAAAGATAACTCATTGACACTGACGAAAAAGCTAGCAAAAATGCTACATTGCAATATTTTTGATATATTGAAAGTATAATATGAAAATTTTAATTTTTAAAGGTGTAAAGTGGGAAACTTAAATCCATTAAATATATTTGATGTTAAGTCCTACTATTATTTGTTTAATAAGTAATTAAGTCCAAACTTTTTTTTATATATACAAAAATACTCTTATTTTTACGATCAAATCAAATTTTAACGTGAAAGTTTCAAAATTGAAAAATCAGTTACCCCTTGATTCACGCTTTGTCCGTAAGATTTTTTCCATAAAATTTGAAAATTTAAATTCAAGTTATTATCCATCTTCTTCTTGTCAATAGATCCAGATCCTCATTATCCATCTTCTCCACTGTTGCATAGATGTCCCATCTGCACCCAGTTTTCCAAACCACGGCCGTGCACATCCACCACCATAACCGATGGACGACCATAAAGCAAGTGATGAAGTCTAACACATCGTCATGAGCAGATTCATACAACAAGTTTGAAGGCAATAATAATCCCGAAAAAATCTCCAGCATATGAGCCATCAATATACCATCATCATAAGGCTCAGATGAAAGATCAGAATCATTGGACGGCTTCGCTACTTCTCCGCTAGGGTCCACTCTAGGATCTTCAAAACCCATTCCTATGAATTAACTGCTTATACAAGATCATAATTCTTTTTTCTCTGCTTGCTGTACATACCTCTGACACTAAATCCTATTTGATAAGCTCGTGCTATCAAGTTGTGAAGATCAAATTTAAGCAATATTCTTTGTTTTTTGTCAATGTGTACGTTGTTTTGTAAATTGGGAGTCCATTTTGTGCCTTTCCATGAGAGTTGCTTGGATTAGTTTTCGAAAACCCGCACATTTTTACATGATTTCAGGTTCATGCCTTAAAAAAATTGTATCACTAATGGACTAGCTCAGTATAATGGACACTATTTAGGCTCTGTATATATTGAGCTAAGCTCGCCCAAAACCTTCTACTTTGCCTCCTTTGAGATGAGCTAATGTTGGCTTTGGAATGTAATGAGCTCGACTCTACTTTCTCTCAAGAAAAAAAAATCATATAATACTCAATGTTACAACGTACCATAGTGCTTTGTGTACCACAGGTGGTGGGACTGGAGAGGATTAGATCTTCGAAAAAGGGTGCCAAAATTTTCTTGGACATAATAATACCTATTAAATTTTCAAAATGGGCCGTATTTCTTTAGAGTAGATGACCTACTACCAAAAAAATAAAGAAATAAAAAGCTTATGAACTAGAAATACACACAATTGATCATTATCACCATACTAAAGAACACCTAAAAATAATTGAGGGGCACAAACTATGCTAAAGAGCACCTAAAAATGAGTCGAGCACAAACTACGCTACACTAGTACTACTGGATATACGTTTCGAAAATGGGATTATGTGAATCTCGACTATTGACATTAATGATTATACAGAGTTATTTTTCAAAAACCTAATTGCATTCGAGCAGTATAGTAGGGTTAATGAATTTATGCGACCAGTTATGTTGAAATTTATAAATGTCCTTATCCTAGTCCCCAGAGGATGCCAAACGACTTCGTCAATGTAGAATTATTGAGTACTTGTCAAGGGAAGATGACGTGGTTTTCACCGTGCTTAACAAATTGGGCTGTACTATTATAATGGCTCCAGATAGGTTTTGATATTGGAAAGTGTCCACTGAAGTTAGTGAGCATTGCAAACGACCTTAGTATATTCGGATGGCAAAATTAAGGCATAATAAGGACATATGCCAAATTAAAGCAAGATTATTTCAACAGCCCGTTGTCGATCATTTCACTCATTGGTGCTATTGTGCAGCTTTCTCTCGATCAAAATGCATATTTTTGGATGATTTTAGGTGGCTTAATCATATGGGCAAATCCAAAGGTCCATTGATTAGCACCTCTCAATAAGGGACCCGACNTTTAGGTGGCTTAATCATACGGGCAAATCCAAAGGTCCATTGATTAGCACCTCTCAATAAGGGACCCGACAAATTTATTCCCTAACTGGAATTATCGAAACTCACCAAATATTTTTAGGGATAAAAATTACAATTGATCCTTGAACTTTATTTTTGATTTTAATTTGGTCCTTGAACTTTCAATTGTCTTTATTTAGTTCTTCAACTATCAATTTTATCTTAATTAAATCATTCCGTCCATTTTCACAAATTAAAGTAATGTTAAAATAGA